CGCTGCTGCTAACTCAAGTAAGGTGAACCCTAAAGGGCTGGCCAGTGGGTTCAGCAACACGGAAGTTATTGGTTCCCTTAACAGGGGCACAGTTGGCAGAGCAGTGGGGGAGAAACCTGGGAGGGAGGGCTCCAGGGACAACAAGAGGAGAGAAATTGCGGACAGTGAGCATAGCCAACTATTTAGAGAAGAGCTGCAGTTCAGGGGAGTAAAACTTTGGTCAGGAGGGCATGAAGGTTGGAGAAGTTTTTATTTTATTTGCTATTTATTTTATTTTATTTTTTAAAATCAATTTTTTAAAATTGATTTTTAGAGAGATAGGGAGAGGGAGAGAGAGAAACATCAATTGGTTTGCCTCCTGTATGTGCCCCGACCGGGGATCGAACCAGAAACCTGAGTATGTGCCTCAACCAACTGAGCCACACTGGCCAGGGCAGTTGGAGAGGTTTTTAAAATTCTTTTAGCCTTGACTGGTGTTTCTCAGTGGTTAGAGCGTCGGTCTGTGCACTGAAGGGTTGCAGGTTCGATTCCCAGTCAAGGGCATGACCCGGGGTTGTAGGTTTGTTTCCCCGGCCTCAGTGGGGGGGGGAGGGGTGCAGGAGGAAACAAATAGGTGTGTCTTTCTCATCGATGTTTCTCTCTCTCTTTCTCCCCCTTCCACTCCTTCTGAAAAGCAATGGAAAAAATATCCTCAGGTGAGGGTTAAAAAAAAAGAAATAGGAGAGGAAGCAGAGGATGTGGGCACACATGCAAGTAGGTGGCAAAGCGGACCTTTCTAGTTTTTGCTATTTTCTGACAGGTGGAAAGTGGTGCACAGGAAAAATGTGGGAGGGGGTGGACATCTGTAACACAGGGATCCAGCTCTGAAGAATTAATTCATGGTTCTCGACTGTTTGCGCAGCTCAAGTCTGGTTTTCCCGGGGACATCTCTCTATCTCTTATGTCATTGTGTTTTTCTCTCTCTCTCTGCATTTCCCATCCTCTCCCACCCACTGTGTCTGTCTATCTCTGTGTATTTATCCCTTTGTTTTTCTTGTATCAGGGCCTCTCCTCTGGGCCTGGTTGTGGGGCCAACTTTCTCATTCCAGCCAGCACTTCCAACCAGAACTTCCAGTTCCTGCCTCACAAAGAACCCCATTTTGAAGCCAAGCTAGGGTGGGGCTTCCAGGAACCTCAGCTGCCTCCATCTGCAGCTTTACTTACTTAACAAGCACATTTGCGGCCCTAGGTCCACTTTAGGCTCTTGTGTAAACACCTTCCAATATTAACTCATTTAACCCTCCTGTATGAGGTAGGTGCTGTTGATAGCACCAAATGGGGACACTGAGGCACAGAGTGCCCTTGAACTCCAGAGTCTCAGCTCTATACCACTAGGAACACTGTCTCTTTTTCTAGTATTTCTTTCCCTGGCCCTACTGTCTGAAGGGGGTAAGACCCTGATCTGAGAGACAGTACACCTGGTCTAGTTAGTGTGTGACTCTCAGCAGCTCGCTGTCCCCCATGGTCTGCGGTCATCTTATGGGTCAAGTGAGGAGATGGAACACGCTCAGCCTTCTGTGGGTCCATGTCTTCACTTCAATGAGAGTCAGCCAACCTAAGTCCTGGCCAATCATGGGCTCTAATATCAGCATTGACCTCACACTCACCCCTCAGCAAATGCCAATGCCAGCCACCCCCACTCCAGGTTCCTTCCAGCCCTTCCCAACTGAGAACGGCTTTTGTGGAAGTGTGGACCCAGGCCACAAGAGGGCACAGGTACCCTGGCTTCCCACACAAGCCTGTCACCTCACGTAACCTGGCATCCTCCCTCTTGCCACCCAGCCAGAACCCAACTCTACCGGGAAAGAGTGAACTCGGTATCCACCTTGGGCTCCAGCCTGTGAGGGGTGAATTCCAAGGTGCAGAAGGACAATTGGTTTTCTGTCACCTCGAGAGGAGTTCACAGCTATGGCCCAGCCCAGTCCTGCCAAAACCCTACCTCAACACAGATGCTCAATGTCATGTCTGGTCTTCATTATCAATGTCAACCCACAACACCAGCTCAACTGTATTTCAACACCTCCCCATCCAAAACTTCAGCCTTGGCCCCATCTCCAGTCCCAATCCAACAGGACTCCATCAACAGCCTTATTGCCAGATCCCTTCTGACCACAACTCAACCCCATCCCCTAAGCCAACTCCAACCCCATCCTCACCGCATGCCCATTCTTTCCCCCACCCTCACTCGCACTCCCAATGCTGTCATCTGACCCATCCTAAACCTGACCAAAAACTTTCTCCCTTGTGTATGGAAAAATTGTGAAATACCTTGATATGTATGCAACAAGTGTCTTCAATGGAAAACTAGATGGATCAGCTGATTTTGGGAGGTCTCTGCTTCGTTTACTGTCTTTGAGCTGCTTTACAACTCTGTAAATTATAGATAGCTCATAATGCAAACAGTTCTTGTCCAGAGATGCAAGTGAGTTTTGTCAAGTAGAAGCACAATTTCCTTCCCCACCATGTGGAACAGGACAGTTTTACATCTATTTATAAATTCATTTCAGCAAAACCTTATTGCCTATACATGTGTGGTTCTTTGTAACATCTTGCTAGTTATATCATTTATTAATGAATCAAAATGAAATCTTAGATATATGTTCATTTTTTATATATAGGAGAGTCATGGTTAGATCCTTTTATATTTTTTATTGAATTTATTGGGGTGACCTTGCTTAATAAAATTATATAGGTCTCGGGTATACAATTCCATAACACATCATCTGTATATTGTATTGTGTGTTCACCACCCCAAGTCAAGTCTCCTTCCATCACCATTTATACACCCCCCCCCC